AAGTATGTACAGTGCATGTACACAGCCACCTTTGGATAGCTTCAGTGAACATTCAACGCTGTCGGTGAGTTTGAGAACTAAAAAAAACCATCGACCGTTGACTGTACCTTGAGGTTTATCACAAACCCTCTCTTAAATGGAAAGCTTGAACCTTCGGAGTTTTTCACATATGGTTGCTATTAACAGGTCATGATTTAGATTATATTAAGAGCTAGAGGTTGAGTTTTTCCAGCTCTACTTCCCTACTTTCTCCAAAAATGAACTGGTAAAAAAAAAAAAAATGGTTGTTTTCTATTTAACAGCAACAACAAACAAAAAGACTATGAGCTAGACCAGAATTTCTGCACAAAAAAAATGAGTAATGGAAGGTTTTCTGTGGACAGCACAAGAGCAGTAATGTATACATGGCATATGGCATGCTTAAACAAGCCTGGGTATGGTGTATGTTCAGAACAGCAGAATATAGGCCAGATCAGGAGGAAAACCTCCTTTCCATTTGGACTGGCAACTTGAGCTCGTCTGGAAAAAGCTGTGGAATGTCAGTTCATTTGCTCATAGGAACCTGTGCTCAATTTCAGCAGCTGCTCACTGGGAACACTGGCCATGGACTGGATTCCTCCCAGCAAGGTCCAGCTGCTGCCACAACTCATGTTTGCCTGCTCGTGCAGCGACAGCAAGAAACCAGGCCTTGCTTCCCAAGGGAAGGCAAGGTGGATGTCCAGGCACCTCGGCCGTGTCCACCCGGTACCCTGCCTGCCCCAGCTGGCCCATCCCATGCAGGGCTCCAGCCCTTGTGGTACGGAGTCAGGAACGGTCTCGATCCCAAAAGCAATACGCCTGACAGCAAGAAGCTGTAGCCTAAGCGGAGTAACCAAGCAAAACCATGAAAAAGGAAATCCTGTATTTTTAATGCTGTTTCTGAAGTGAAGAATGTTTTTCCTACTCTTTTCCCTGTGTAAATGTCCTTCCCAGAAGCCTCCCAGATAGAAGAAGCCCTGCAATAGTCGCGTCCTGAGACCAGGATGGCTGCGACCCCGACCGTGCCCCGTGGCAGCACGGAGCTGCCCGCAGGAACTGCACCTAATGGCTGCACTCAACATTCATTGCTGTCGGTGGGTTTTCGTTTCTATCAACTCACTGATCAATGAATGCAAACTGCGGACCAGCTAGCTGAGAGACTGCCCGCTCCTCCTGCTCGGGGCTCGCTGGCAGGAGGGACGCAGGCTGCGTGCTGAAGCAGCTCTGAGTTCAGCTTCTGCCACTGGCACAGGGCAGGGCTGTGGGAGCTGTGGGACCGGCCGCTCACGCTCCTTCATGAGCACAGGCACACAGGGATGCTTTGCCACCTGACAGCCACTGCAAAGATAAAAGTGTTTTACAAAGCAATAAATTCTGGATGAAATAAGCATCCCCTGTAGAAAGCAGATGTTATAACAGGGCACGAACACGGCTTTTCAAGGCTGTGTTTTTGTTCTAAATACAGGAAAACAATCCTGATCCAAGTTCAGGGCAGACTGACTTATTCCTCCCTGTCCCTTACCAGCTTCAATGGAAGCTGCGCCCATGCTGGACACTTCATAAAGATACAGAAAGCGTCCTGGTTAAATGTGGAAGCCTTTTCATACAGGTCTGTACTGTCTACTGAAGCACATTAAAACAGTATCTTGTAATATTTATATTCTGCTGTGGTTTGTTTGTTGTTGGTTTGTTTGGTTTTTTGTTTGTTTGTTTTTTTAGAATTTTACTTGAGACGTAAACACTGAAAAGCAGGAATAAATCATTGGCATTTATCAGTGACTTCAAATATCTTTCACATGATACAAATTTGAACATTAAATGTAGCTACATATGTTAAAAAGTACTTTTTTAAAAAAGGCCCAAATGTACATAAGACAGCTAACAGACTAAGTAAGGAATGATCGAGAGAGCTACATAAGGGAGCATAAGGGAGAGAAAACTCAGCTGATCAACTGTTCTAATAAAAACAACACAACTCCTTGCTGCATTTGTAAATCTCAGTTTTCACTATCAGGAAGGCAGAAGCCTATGCAGCGAGCGTCACCTGATTATAGGAAATGAGTCCTTCTGATGGAGACAACTATGGAACAACATCAAGTCCTAAAAAGCGATCAGTGAGAGCTGACAGAATTGAGATTGCCCGGATGACAAGTGACAAGGATAAGAACGGGAGGGGGGCAGCAGCAAGTCACTGGTGATGGGGCAGCAGCAAGTCACAGCCCCCGAAATGCAGCACTGGGCATGACTAGAGGGGCAACGGTGAACGCTGCTTCACCCAGCAGAAGCACCACAGTCAATGCATGGTATTAACGGGCACACTCGTTTTCCTTGAGCCTTGTTTGTTCCCGTGGTTCCTTATGGGATCATTTTGAAAGCAGCCCCGTGCTGTGCGGGGTGCCCCCAGTAACTGATGTGCTGCACACATCCAGTCAGCACTTACTAAGGGCATGTAAACTCCAGTTAGGCGAGTATTAGTAGTAACCCCCCTTACTCATTCTGCTACAAGACTTTAATTGTAGGCAGGAACAGCTTTGCTGAGTTCAACTGATGCACAAACTGAAGGCACCTCTGCAAAACACGGCTTTAGAAAAAGTCTCCCAGGTGTGGCACTGAAAGGCTCTGTTCAGTGCCAGTCACCTACACGGAGCTTTTCTACTGAAACCCTTGGCAAAATCAGTTTGGATCTAGAAAGTTCACTGCAGTAGTACAGAAGTGATCAGGCTGAAAACATGCCTGCGCTATTGCATAACCATGAGCTAGACAAATGACTTGTTTTGATGCAGTTTGACATTTTGCCTTTGAAATTCCAAATTTTTCAGCATGTTTGGAAGACTTGCTGAAAACGTATGATCACACAATTTGTACTTTTTCCAGTGGCTTCTTAAACAATATAAAATAACACAAATGCTTTCTTGTAAACACCGAAATCTCACTTGACCTACTGGTTTTCCCCACATACATCTATATGAAAATACAAAATAAAGTCTTGCCAGATGTTCATCCTTACTGCAAAAAAAATGTGAAAATAATTCACTGCAATTACTCCAAGTAAGACATTTCAGGCAGAAAACTACAGAGTAAGTTTGCTAATGCATGAAAATCACAAGGTTTAAGCAGACGCTCCACAGCTCAATGCTCCTAACGCACAAAGAGGCATAAGAACTCAGTTTGCTACTCCACTGTGAAAATCCGTAAGCCTTTTGCTTTAATCACGTTTTGTAATGAGACAGCAAAGAAGAAAAACTACTAGGGGAAAAACAGGTTACCCGACATACTCAGGATTTTTGAAAAATCATGCTTGGGAAGTTTGGGATGCTTCTGGCGCCAGCTGCTCGCGCCCTAGCAGAGGCCAGCAGCCTCACAGGCAGCAGGACCAGCTGCTGGGCGCGGGACAGAGCTGAGCACCAGCACCCCCAGTGCTGCCAGCACCGCGGACCGGACAGCTGGGGCTGCAGAGCTCGAGGGGCTGCCCCAGCAGGAATTGCCAGGGCTCATCTGTCAAGGCGCAGCGGCTCGGGCCCTGCTGCCCACCCGGCACCAGCGGCAGCGTGCCCGCGTCCCTGCTGCTGCGCTCAGCCTGCCCACCAGCACTGAAGGTGTGATCGAAAGACAGGAAGACATGAAAAGAACTCCAGGAGCTCAGTTTATTTAATTAATCAACAGTTTATATAAATAACTTCATACGGAACAGAAGTTTGACAAGCGTTTTTCGGTTTAGCAAAGATAACAGCTGCAGCTAGACAAATTCAGACCAGCAATAATATACAAGTATTTAGGGGAAAAAAAAAAAAAAGTAATTTGACTCATCTTAGTCAGCTTTTGCTTTCAGTATTTGGCAGATATATCCTGATATGAGAACACAGTGGAAAATTAAGTTTCAATACCTTTTACTGCATTCAGGCCCCTCATGCATTAACTGTAAGCTATGCCAGGCTACAAAGATTCAAGAGAACATCAAACAATATTTTCATAAGCTATACACACATAGTTTATGAAAATAAATTATAAATGCATGTGAAGTTTCTATATAAAAATGAACAACTAGAAGAAAGCCTATCTAGATGAATATAAGTAGTCCTTAACACACAAGTAACTGCACGCACATTTGCAACTCTGAGCCTATGTTACGCTCATTCCACAGGACTGTTCTCATTACAGAGGGAGGAAACATCTCCCCTTGCAGAGGAACCACAGTTCTCCAATAAAAGTAAGTGCCATCAGCACGATAACAGAGGTGGAATGCCCGGTGCCCTGACTCTGGAAGAACTTTAGTAGTTCTGAGCATCTGAACATTATTTTAAAGTGTCAGATAATAGTATACCACACTTGAAAAATCCAGAGTGTTTCTAAAAATGACCAAAAAGTTGCTTTAAATGAGAAATTTGCACATACCTCATCCCTCTATTATGAATAGAATTGCATTGATTTCAGTCTGTAACAATTGCAAGTCCAACAAGGACTTGTTGCCATCTAGTGGATTATAACCAACAAAATCCATTTGATCCTTGGACACAGCAAATACCACTAGATGGAGTATTAAAAAAGAATTCTGCATTCACCTTATTTTAAGTGTCCAGCAGCAAAGTCCAACTGCTTTCAGTTTCATTAGAAATCCCCAGCTATAACATTTCTAAGTTTAATAGGGATACACTTCAGATGGATACTTTTAGGTCAATGTAATCTGCCAGGTTCCTTTTTAATCATCGTATCACTAACATTCAGGCAACTACTTCACAGCTTTCACTGACCTATCTCTCATGGTAAAATCTTACACAACCTACCTTGTGCTGGTGTAAACAGCGATGTGCAGACCTGGACCGTGCTACTTCTGTAACCAAATACCAGGTCCTCAGTTCTGTGAGTAAGCATTAGCTGTAAAACTTCTCAAAGTCTCTACAGTGAAGTATGAATTCATCTCTTTATATGATCTCAGAGTGAGAAATTCTACCTCATTGTATTTGGCAAGAAAACGAGGTACTTACTGCCCATGGAGTTCACAGGAAGGACAGGAGAAGAGGAACTCATCTGCTCCACATCTGTAGCTAATGAGAAAGGGAAAATGAGAAAATTGTGATGTGTGTTTTACCAAGTGCCTTAATAAGTTTTTAATCTTGAAAATGTACATTTAAATTAAACAGGTGTATCTTATCTATGGAAGTAGCTTTGAGAAGCAGTTTTTAACAGCGCTGCCCTTTTCCCTTTTACAATATTATCTCACATACCCATTACTTGCAGACTTGCTTTTCAAATTGCCATTCCAGCAAAACCACTGCAAGTTAGATAAGAACATGACTTCAGAACACTTCAGCGTGAAGAAATCCTAAATTCTGTCTGCTTTAAACTGTATGCAATAGCATCTTTTAAGTGGAGCATTACTGCAGACGAAAAGAGATGACAACTGTGTCCAGTGCTCCTTCAAAAGATTCCCGATAGGAAGACAGATTCCCTTCCAAAAGCATACAAATGCTGGCATTTGATCTGAAGCAGTACCAGAAGCAAGTATCTTTAAAGACAAAGACATTCCAAAAAGCTTTGTTTTATAACATCTGAAAAAAGAAACAGAACTACCTTCCTGTGCCTGCAAAGAAATTAAAAAAAAAAAAAGTGTGATCTGAACCACGAGCCAGGTATTCTCTGCACTTTGCAAATGATCCAACTTCCCAGGATCCAAACCAAGAAAGTCATCTCCTGGTAATGGGGTCAGTTTTAATCTGAGATTAGGTAGCATGCAGAAGTGCTCTCTTTAGGGCTGGATCTCTCTCAAAAAAGACAACATTCATCCTTGTGCCATCACCACAAATGCCCAAGTTCAGCAAATCAGTCTCCCTCTCCATCATTTTTATGATGGTAGATCCCACAATTACATATAATTGTCATAGTTAAGAGCCAGCAAACACAAGTTTACATTCCTCAGCCACAGAGCAGAGCCCCAGAAGCCCAGCTCAGCCCACAGCCAGGGTTTGCTGCCAGCCCAAATCAGGCCCTTCACATTCTTACAGCTCGGCACTGAGGGCTTCTGTTTACATGGAGCAGTGCAAAGTTCTGCTCTAATTAGGCAAACCACAAATGAACGTAAACACTTGGGCAGACCATTGTCATGGAACACGAAGAGCACACACAGCTCTGTGCTTACAGAAATTAATCCCGCTATGTCTCCAGCCACACCTACCGAGCTCTTTGCTGAGCAGCCTTGGTTTTACTACACAAGTCCAACAGCTTCAGTTCAGCGTACCGACTGCCACTCACAACAAAAGTGGCAGGTTTAAACAGCATGGGTTCTGCCCATCTCATTTTCTGTTAACTGGAGACATTTACTGCCCAGAACTTCTACCAAACGTGCCCTTGTATGGCTGGGCTCTTCCTCGTGTTTCTCGCACCGCTGTCCAGAAAGCTGGGTATGGCACAGCCATCCTGGAGCACTGACAGCCACACGCCATGCAGCACTTCTTACAGCTCCCCTGATCTGCTTACAGGAAAAATAAAAAGTTTTGCATCTTCCTGTTTTCCACTTTATTTCTATGTTCTCCTTAATGCAGGAATTGTGAACCCTTTGAAAGAGGTAGGTAACTCAAGCTATACACATTTTTGTAAGTAAAAAAAGATTCTTTATCTGCAGTATAACAATTTTAGATACCTGGAAAGAGCCTCTTTTTTGCCCCTATTTAAAGCTAAATATGCTTCCATATACAGCCAGAACAACTTCAATAGTAAGTGCAGCATTGAAGTTACTTTTATTCTCCTGAGAATGGCAAGATTTAGTCCATGGAGACACCAGTGCTGTGCACAGCTGAGCTTTCAGGAAGGCTGCAGTGACCGATCAGCAGATGGCCGTGTAAAGGTTACCTGCTGCTGTCCGGCAGGGAGAGGTCAGCTGCCCCCAGCCAGCCAGATGGCAGCGCCCGAGGAGCGGCGATGTGTGAATAGCCAGCACTTCGGGCAGTAAGCTACACCTGCCAACATCTGGAATAATTTATCAAATATCATTCAAAAAGCAACCAAACAACACGCGTGCCTTCGGAAGAGTAATTCTGAGCGGTGAGCGTGTCACCAGGGAGCTGGCATAGGCTCAAGTCCTGTACTCCCACACTGCTACAGTGCCACACGGAAAGTTGCAAACAGAAATGCAACACTTGCTGGCTACACTCGAAAGGGTAATTTCAGCTCCTGCTTGACATTACATCGATTTTTTAATTACCAACACTCACCACGGCCAGCACACCGGTCACAGCTCTCCTGGTGCCAGCTCTGAAGTTCCTGGGATCGCCTCCGTGTTCGGCCAAGCCCTGCTGTGAGCCCCACGATGCCATCCCAGCAGGAACACGGCGAGCCGAGACCCCAAAAAAGCACCAACTTACCCCACAATTTGCCTCAAATAGGTGAATTATAAAATGCCTCTTATTCACATAAACTAGCACGTTCAGTATTTCAAGCAGCTCTTTACGAAGCACAGCAATGCTGGTTCTCATGCACATCCCTCCCCTCCAGCCCTTTTTTTTGTCATAATTATATGCAACATTAGGCTCCTAACAGCAACTCAGCTAAGAGAGGAGATATGGATCAACAACCGGCTACAGCTTTGGAAACAGGTTTGCTCTACCAGATGAAAAGGACAAAAGTCTGCTCAGCTATGAAGAGCAGCTGGTGCCAATACAACTATTTACCCTCTGACCTTTCCTCTGCCCAGTAAGTGAACAGTGCCAATTGTTTTCTTGGATTATATACTGTTTACAAGCCCTGAGTGGCATGAAAGGAATTAATAATTTAGCTCATGGAGCTGATGACCTTTATTGGGGTACCCCCTATTTGCTGGGCAGAAATCAGAGCAAAGGCTGCCTTGAAGCCACAGGGTTGCTTTAAGAGTTTCCCACTTTACAGCCTAATTGGCCACCATAACATAAATCAATTATTTCTCCTGTTTTAAGCAACAATGCTACCTATTCTCAACCGCTCGATTTCGAACTTCCCTTGTATCAAGCCGGGCCTTGTTCTCCCACTTTTACAGCTGGATAGTAAACACGATGGCGAGGGGAGCGAGGAGAGCTTTGCAGGATGAGCAACGTTGGGAAATGCCAGCAAAAAGAGGTTATGCTGTTCTGAACTCCTCTTGACCTTTGCCTGCCCTTGTCCCCGTTTATGCTAATTGAAGGGGTGCGCGGGGGATACTCCTAGAAATGAACTTAGCCTGAACCTGGGACATCGCATTGGGCTTTGAAGGTATCGGTGCACGAGTTTGGCAGCCCAGCACATCGCACACAGGAGTACAGCACAAGGCACCCTGAGCAGCTGCAGAATCACACTCATACGACCATCAGGAGAGTGGAAGGCCTCTGCTGCTCACCTGGAGCCCTTCCACTGGAAGCAGACCCGTTCTCAAGGCTGGATCAGCCTGCCCAGGGGTCTCTTCACCAAAATTTTGAAAACCTCCAAGGATACAGGCTCCACGGCCTCTCCAGACACCAGTACTGCATCACTCCCGAGAACACCTTCATCCCCTCAGAGCATCCAGCAGGAATTCCCATCGCTGCAACCTGCCATCGCTGTCCTGACCTTTTGCCACACACCCCCGAAGAGTCCGGCTCCATTTGTTCCTAGAACCACTTTTAAAGGACTGGCAGGCCGGCCGTTAATCCCCACTTAGCCTCCTCTTCTCCAAGCTAAACAACCGCAATCCCCTCGGCCTGTCCTCGCCTGGCAGGCGTTGGAGCCCCCAGCCTCCCCGCACCGCCCCGAGGAGCCGTCGCGCTCCCCAGGCTCAGCAGGGCCCCGCAGCATTTCAGCAGGGCCCTGCACCACAGCTGCTCTCTGTTGAACCTGGAGGTTTCGGTCGATCCTTCCCTTCTGGTCACTGAGGTCCTCCCGTGCCCTCCAGAACCTCACCAGCCGGTCAGACACAGACCCCGTCATGCCCTGGCTGGTGCCAGCACCGAGCAGCACTGCCCCTGAACTGCCCCTGCACAGGTCCCCTCAGTACCCAGCCACCCGTCAGCCTTTCACCTACCAACTGCTACCCTCTGAGCCACACAGAGCTAGTTTTTCACTCACATTTCCCCATTTGGCCAAAATATTGGCACGTCAGACTGTGTCAAAAGTCTTGCTTAAGGTTACGGTACATGGCAGTCAGCTCTCCCCTCGTTTTGGGGCCCAGCCATCCCGGCCCAGGAGGAAGGAGCCTGCTCGGGCACGGTTTGCTCTTGGTAAGCCCCTGTCAGCGTTCCCAGTTCCCTTCCTGTCCTACCTGTGCCTGGAAACATCCTTGGGGAGGATCAGCTCCATGCTTTTCCCAGGGACTGAGGCGAGGCTGAGCAGCCTGCAGCTCTCCAGATCAGCTACTGCTGAGCAGAGCCGAGTTAGAGGTGATTCATTATCCCTTATCAGCCAATTTTACCATACAGAGACATTCCTCCCCTTTCCCCTACATCAGGCAGAGCTGCTCGTCTCACCTCTCCTCTGAAAACATGCTGTTTGGAGAGAGGAGCGGGAAGTAAGGTCACTTCGTGATAAATATTGACAGTTATTTTTGTTAGCATGGAAAACACTCAGGGCTCCTATTTACCAACAGAGCCGCAAGCAGGCACGGCACTTCAACGCCCCGCGTGCTGCGGGAGCTGTACCTGCGCTCCCCTCCCTAAGCACAGACGTTCCCCTAAATGTCTGTTTACATTCCAGGGAAATTCTGTCAGCGTGCTGTCTGATTTATTGATGCCATCAAAAGTCACGGGATTCCTGAAATGCCTCCTGAGACACGGATCGGAGCGGAGAGGAGACGCGTGTGGCTGTGGCACCAGCCGTACCGCGACTCCCAGCCTGGATTTCCAGAAGCCTTCTGCAACGCACCAGGCAGGCAGCCCGCACGGTGAGGATTTCAGAGCACAGCACTGCCCCTACTCACAAGGCACATCTCTTAAAGGCATTCTGTCCTGATGCGGGAGCAAAAACCACTACAAGATGTAGGGGTAACCAAGAGTAAGAAATCACTGGTTTCAATTTGTATTGTTAATCTGAATTCAGAGCTTCAGCTGGCAGCCTGGTAACGCCGGGTCCTGTCTGTGCTGGAAGCTCTACCCAAGAGATCCTTTTTGTGGCTGCAATCCAACAAGATAATTACTCTCAGTCTTTTCAATAAGCTAAGACAGGACTACCAGGCTCCCCTGATCTTTTGGGGCAATTCCCCGTATTTTAGGCGATCAGGGCTGCAAGCAGCACCACGCTGTTATCACTCCAGCACAGCACTGTCAGCACAAGATGGGCAGTGACCACAAAGGGCCCACCTCCAGCTCCCAGAGGATCACATCAGCATTTCTGGATGAAGCACTGCAATGACAGGCACTTCCCCATGAAGACATTCTGCAGCCAGTGCCTGTCAGCATTAGGTGCCCGCTGCAGGCAGGCTGCCTGCTCCCAGCCACGCCATTTACCTGGAACACGCTCTGGTTGAATGGGATATGGCCCAGCAGGCAGCTCAGACTGCTCCAATATTGAAAGATCAATTGCATAATCATTCTGCAGATCTTTGTGCTGTGTGTACATTAGTGAAAATCCTATATTTGCTTTTTGATCACTGATAAAATGTTGGCCAACACGAGTCCTTGGCATACCACCTCAGAAAAATCCATCCCTTCAGTCTAGCACATTTACCTACATAAAGTAGAGTCGAGCAGCGTTATGCAAGGGTAGAGATGCTGCTGATTTTTGAAGCGTTATCAACCCAGAGTAAGACTCAACCAATAACTAGCAGCACATCGTGCCATGTGGAAGATGCCAGGAATCGGGCTGTAGGTTAGCCAGCATTCCCAGAGGTGCCAGCCCCCAGTGCTTCAGAATGGAAGCACGACCGGACCTCTTCGCCGTGCCCTTGTAATTCAGCAGCTGGTGCATGACCAGCACCGACAGACGGATCCTGGGCAAGCACAGACACGTGGCGAGCTCTGAAAACAGTTTTCCCCCTAACCTCAAGGTTAATGAATTTAACAGTGTTCAAGTCTCATTTTGTGAAGAGCATTACAGCTTCTGCTGTACCGGGCTGCAGCTGCACCCAGAGCTTGCTGTGACTCGGCTCTCCTGCTACCCTGGGAAGGAGAGAAGAGTAACCAGGACTCACTGGCCACGGGGTCGTGCTCTGTGGAAGGATCTCAGCAGCGTCCTAGAACATGGAAGCAGGTGAAGGAACTAGGCATGAAAACATTCCTCCACTGCTGCCACACATGCCCAAAGACTGAACAATTAAAACCAACCCCTGAATCCACAGTGAACATCAAAACACTGCGTTAGGAAGGGTGAAAGCTTTGTAAGGACCTACCTGCAATAGGCTTCTGTAATGCTCAATCCTAAAACAAGACAGCTGAGCAGATATGCTCCCCGTACCATACATAAAGCTACCGCTGGCATCCTGTGGTTAGGTCTATAACTCACTTTCAGCACAGGGAAGTGGCAGGTGTTAGAAATATGATATTCTGTGTCGTATAAATCAATCACCAGAGCTGTAGCTCTTGCTGCACATCACGAGAGGACCAAATCAATGAATGAGCTTAACACGTAATTTGTCAGCGTGGGTGTAGCTGTGGTTGGTGCTCTTTCATTTTCGTGAGGTCTTTGTTTCTTCCTACAGGCCACCTGAAAGTGTTTTGTGGCTCACGCTGATGACTGCAATAAATGAACTGTCCTTCGGCAGCAAAAGGATCGACCCGGGGCTCCCCGTGCCCGAGGGATGCTCAGTGCCTGGGTGTGAGCCCCCGGCTCCAGGCGATGCTGCAGCCAGAGCCCCGCGAGCAGGCCCTGGGCTCTGTCCCGGACACGAGACCAGTGCCAGCTCTGAACCTCTGAGAGCAGACGGGAAGGGGCAGCAGTCCTGCAGCCCGTTACCCGCACCCTGAGAGCACACGCAGCTCGTCTTAACCACGTCTGCTATGGGATCTGGGAGTTTGATGCCCTGTTAAAGAAGTTTTCCTTCCTTGACTACTGACTCAAGCAACTTTCGTGCAATTCAGTGATCTACGGCCCTCCAGCCTCACTGACCACTTGCCTTGCAGCCCTAAAATACTGACAATTCGGGTTTGTTGGAGTGAAAAGCTTGCATTATTAGCCTCCTAGGAATGGGGACTGCATACAGACAAGAATCAAGGGAAATTTGATTCTCTCGCAGCACCTACCTCTCTGCCTACTGTCTCTGGTGTTTGCAAACCGTATTAGCTCCTGCTGCTTGCAATTCCAGAAACACCCCTTTCTCTTCGGCCTCATTCCATCTGCATCTGTCTGCTGCTATAATCTCATTTCGCAGGACGCCAGCTCACTTATTAGCTTGTAAGTGTGGCAGCACACATCTAAGCAGCATGGAAAACACAGCAAAGTGTTTGAGAACTAGAAAACATACTCCAAGATAGAAGCATCATTCCTAGTATTCGGGTATTTGTTGATATTTATTTCTATCTGTACTAGATTACAGGACAGGGAAAATACCTACATTTCTAAAAAGGAAGCTACCATTCTGCCCAGTGGAAAAATCATTTTGAAGTGACTTCAGTATGCACTGCTGCTCTATAGACAAATCCGAAGCTTTAATTCTAGTTTGATCTGACCTCACAGCAACAACACAAGAGTTTACGTTTTGCTGGTTTCCATGAAAAGGCAGGATAAGGTTTTGCCTTTTTTGTATCAGGTTAAGAGAGATGACTATAAAACTTGTAATTCTAAAGCACTAGTCACGTACATCGAGAGAAATCTGTTCCTATTCTTCTGTTAGGAGCTGAGCATATTCGCTCACCAAGTAGATTAAAAACATTTGAAGATCAGCATGTGTTTTTTTTCCACCAAAACCAGGCTAAACAGTAGCAGCAATTTATCGTTCAATTTTTTATGCAGCAGCACAAACACAGCTTAAAGGAATTATCTCCTCAGCGTACAGCTCCAGCTGTCAGGACAGGGTATCAGCACCTCCCCTTCTGCTCATGACTCGTTCGCCGTCTCCTTTAGGAAAGTGTCTTTGAAAACCCGCATCCTGGGCAGCTGAAGTGTGAATGGAAAATATCCGACAGACAAAATCATTTGCTTTTCTCACCATCAGCTTGATGAAAACCTCACGCACCTCATTTCCACTGATTTCTTGTGGAGGAGGTGTGCAGAGTGCAGCTCACCAGCGGACAGCTGCCAAATGTGCCGCACAGCAGCACTGGGGCAGCAGCACCACTGCAGCCTCGTTTGTCCCGACAGCATCCTTGCTCAGCAGCACCCGACGTGCTCACACTCCCAAACCAGAGACATTCGAGTTCTCTCCTCGTGTTACAGAGAAATTGAGCGCCCTGTGACCCCGAAACAAGAACCCCCGCCTCGGCAGTCCCCGTTCTGCAGATGGCCGCGTTCTGCTTGGCCAGCGGCGTGCTTCGAGGCTCGCCACTCGAGCACCAGCCCAGCTCCCCCCGCCGCAGCCACGAGCCGTGTCCGTGCCTGGAAGCAGCTCACCGTCCCGAAGGAGGGCGTTGAGGAGCAGCTGGCGGCCTGGCCCTCAGCCACTGGCAGGGACCGACCCGTTGGGTATGTCCTGCACTTACAGCACCGGGTCTGGGCTCCTGGAGCTCTTCAAACTGAAAAAGGACAAGGGCGCAGGGAGCCGCACTGTGCCACCCCCAGCACGGGGCACGGCACAGCTCCGGAGGGCAGCGGGGCTCGTCAGGGCCCAGAGCTCAGTGCTGCTCGGGTCACAGCAGGCACGCGGGGATGGTTTTCCTGGCGCAGGAATTCTGGCAATGCAAGTGACAGCTATTTCACCATAAATATTATGGTATTCCTTACACAAGGGCTACTGCAGGAGTCCTCATAGAAAGAGCAGTTGTAAACAACTTGTTTCAGCTTACAGCAATTTCCCAGATAAGAGTTCATGTAACCCCTACCCGCCTGCTCCAATAAAACACCCTACAGAGGCTGGCAGGGACTGTTGGCTTGTTGTTGGGCAATCTCCAGCTCTATGTATATATTTTTATTTTCAGCACAGGTTAAACACAGAAGAAAAGGAGCAGCATGCAGAGGGCCGTCCTTTCCCCGCTATCAGCCTGCAGCACAGGCTGTTTAACCTCGGTTTGTTTCATGGAGCTGGAAGTTTCTGCAACCTGCCCCTGCAGAGGCCGGCAGCGTGCTGCTGGACCTGCGGGTAGAGCACAGGGAGGCTTGAGAACAGGGGATGAGAACGGCTCCTGTTGGCTACAGAAACCCCAAATAAATCCAGAAGCAAAGCACAGCGCAGCTCCAGTGCTGGAAACGTCTTTAGCCTGAGCTGAGCCTGCACAGAGGTGATTCATCAGTTTTCCTCGCAACTTTGCCGTTTGTTTGTTTTCACACACAGAAGCAGCCTGCCCGTCCTCGTGTGTGCGTCACCTCCTGGGACGGGCACGGACACGGACAGGGACACGGACACGGCGCTTCCCCCGCCGACGCTGCTGTCCGGGCAGCGGCCCCGCTTCCCAGCCGGGGTGATGGATCACGCTCTGCCCCTCAGAAGGGCCGATCGGTTTCCTGGTGCCAGGAAAATGATTGATGAATATTTCGAGCCGTGGGCCTCTCCTCCTGCTGGGTGCCCTTTTTACACGTCTCCACCGGGCCTGGGGAGCTTTTCCGAGACGAGGAAGTGTCATTTTTATGGATATCATCCCGGGGCAGGGACAGTGCGCTGGGGAGAGCTGCTATGGAAATGGAGATGAAACACAAAGGCTGGCTCCAGCGCGAAGGTAACAAAGCAATGCAGCAGGCACCGGGGAAGCAGGGAGCGACAAGCAGGCAAAGAAAAGCCTCCTGAAGCCACAGGCAGGGCAGGAGGCACAGAACAGCCACACCGGCAGGGCAGGGCAAGCTGCACGGTGTGCCCACACCGCGGCGGCTTCCTCACTGGGGATGGCGATGCGATGGCCAAGCTGGGCCCTGCCCCGGGTGGCCAAGCTGACAGACACTGCTCGAGGAAGCTGGGTGCGAGAGGCTGCGTTTGCAATTAATCACCCCAGAAAAACACCAAGCACGCACCCAGCATTACTCCTGGCTGGTTGAGAAACCTGGCTCGAGGTGCTACAGAGAAACCACGGCTTCTCTGCAGCAAAACTTTGGCTCCTGCTGAACTGACACCCAGAGCTCCAACTCCAGGGAAAAACTACTTTAAAAAGCTCACGTTCCACCAAAAAAACAAGAGAAGACCCCAGCTCGGCTGGTACCCATCCCAAGCTGAGGCTCAGTAACCAAGAACAGGGTGCTGCAGGGAGGGAAGCTGCCCGCAGGTGAGGCCAGTCGCTGCCCGTGCCCAGCAGAAAGGCAGCTCTCTGAGGCTGTTACAGAGCTGGCTCAGGACCTGAAATCTCACAGCAGAAGCGTACATAACACATTTACAGCAGCAATACATTCAGAGCAGTTCTTACTGTGCCCTGCCAAAGCACAAAGTCAGGGTACAGCTGGGAGACCAGAGGAGACTTGGGGCGGACACAGGCAGCATCTGGCAGCAGCTCCACACAGCACAACTTGCTCCATTTTCCTACAACCCCAGGAGCCAGCAGGCTCCCAGAGGAGCCACACGCTCCTCAGAGGCATGGCAGAGCCAGCAGCAGCCCCGCAGAGCCAGCCCCAAGCTGTGAGCACCGCACCACAGCGCGCCCACCACAGCTCCCCATGAGGGCACGGGCTGCCTCCCGCTCCTGCCTTCTGGGAGCCTTCAGCCTGATGTCCAAGGCCATAAAATTCGAGGTTGTATTTCCTTGCAACATTTAAAGTTCCCATCAAGTTTCAGCCGGGAGATGTGCTTGAAGCCAAGGACAGCGCAGCACTTCGCAGCCAGCCCAGCATTAGAGCTCTGGTGAATCTTCAGCATTTTCTGATGCGCACAAAGGGAAAAAACAGCTAAAAGTGTCCAATCCTTCACAGCGACCAGAAACTTCCCCAAGTTTCCAGCACGCCCACAAAGGCAGCGAGGAGGTGACACGAGGCAGATGCCCCACACACACCTCGTGAAGGACGCGGGGTCACCTCCTGGGAGCCGCCGAGAATTGGGGTGCTGCAGGCACGGGCTGCCTGCAGGGTACGCGCAGGGAATCCTTCACCAACACAGCATTTCTCTGAAGCCAGCCTACCAGCAGTGTACTTCCTCTTTCTAGAAAGAGCTGCACAGAACCATTTTTATCAACAGCAAATCTGAAGTCTTCTAATTAGGTAATTAGAACTGTAATAATTAAGACTAAAGCTAAACCTCGCAGGGTCCTCTTGTCCCCCAACTTCCCTTTCTCAATTAACTCTGCGAAGTGATAACCACTGTGGCTTAAAGGCTCAAAAAAAAAAAAGGGAAGGATCAAAAGGCTGGTTTAATACAGCTGGAGGGAAAGAATGCATTTCAGCTCACCAGCAACCA